AGTATGTTAAAAAGAGTGTGTTAGAGAGTATATTGCTAGTACTTTTCTACTTTTCAAATGTTTTAAAAACCTAGTATCTTTATGCCCATAATAGGTATTATGTTAGCTGTTTAATATAGTATTAATTACTTCTTGTCTATTTATACTTCTAATAATATCTTCGAAATGTAGTTATTCTATGTCATCATTTCTAGCAAAGAAATTAATAATAAAGTTAATTTTCTAAAACTACTAGTTTATTTCATCTATTTATTAGTTTTTCTTGGTTTATGTAAAATAACCTAAGGCAACACTTACCATGTGATGGAGAGAGTAATTTATAACCTTTTCCATGACTAAGGCTAGGGTGTACCACCTTGATAGGTAGTCGACGTTGGTTCATGAAATTTATCTATTAGATTAACTATAACCTATATGGATCATAATATGCTACATCTACTACATTTGATTATTCATGTTTCCAACTTTCTAAAATTTTTCACCCTTCCGAAGTTGGTCTCTCATCCTTAAGGACCCAAACACGATAGTCAATCACCTTCATATGTCCTAACCCATTATTTTTTCCCTCCCCTTGACTCCACCAATTCCCACTTCAACCTCCCCCAAGAAATCTCCTCCACTACATGTGCCCTATGGTGTGGCTTAGAAAGAGTGTCTAATGGCCATGTATACTTTAAGAAAACAAAAATCATGTCATATGGTGTTCCTGAGGGGTTGTTGTTTTGTGAACCAAATAAGCATTAAGGCAAACCAATTTAGGCTTAATAAGGGGTTGGAGTTTGTGAAACGTTGTTGTATAACAGATAGCTATTTAATATTTTGTTGGTTTCTATAAAATTTCTTGGGAAATCTATTAAAAGTGAAATCAAGAGAACTTTCTATCTTAAACAATCCATTGTTCCACCACTCAATGAATTGAAGAACATTCCTCCTTCTTTATGGGATGGAAAACTTGAGCATACTTCTTAACCTATTAAAGGTGAACTCTTCCTTGCAAATGTTCTAGCTTTCTAAACATTTCTAAAACTTTTGAGCTAGAATATCAAGCATCTATATTAGGCATGAGAGTTGTTTTGTTTAAGGGTGGGCATCCATCCTATTGTTTTTCTTAAGATAACTCATTTTGGTTCAACTCTCAACTAACCCACCTATAACAAAGAGTTTGATTTTCTTTTCCAAGTCTTCTAATCTTGGGGATAAGAAGCTTCTTAGTTATAGTGACCCTAAGTTGCTTCATTCTTTAGGAAGATAAGGAAATTTAGTTTTAAATAGTTTCATTTTTAGGAGCCTAGGTGATCACATAAGACACCCTAGAAAAATCCTTTTAGAAGTTAGTGAAAAACCTTATCTAAAGAAAGTAGAAAAATATATTTTGAGTTTAGATATATTAAAAAGGGTTGAAGAGAACCCTAAACAAATAAAAGCTATAAAGAGGATAAATAAAGGATAAAAGGGCTAGGCCATTTTAGTCATCAAGAAAACAATACTTTTAATGCTTGCAATTTAATTTTTCGTAGATCTTAAAGAAGGAGATGAAAAGGCTTATAATTTTAGGATAAATCCTTTTGAACAAGAAGGGGATGATAAAATCTTATCTAAGGTCCAAATACTAAAAAACAAACACAAGAGGAGTGAGCTAGGTTTGAAAAAAAAAAAAAAAAAAAGGCCAAACATTTATTGACTTTTGAGTCACTTTTTGTAGTCCACCTTCTCTTATTTGTGAATATTTTTCCTTGTAAATATTTTTTTTGTTTTGACCTTACATTTTTTGGTCAAATAGTGAAGGAACTTTTTTTTTTGTAATTTTCTTTTTAAGGTTGCATTTAGTAATTTAGAAGGGGGGTGCCATTAGTATTTAGATATATGTTTATTTAGTTTGTTTTGCCCATGAGAGAAATGGTTGTGGTAGTCCAAGAAGTGAACGTCCACTTTCATCGTCCATGCTTCTCTTATTAGTTCAAACAAACGCACCAAGTCATGCTCCACACACTAGTCGCACTTTTGGCATGCTTGCTTTTACACACCTTTTTCTACTAATACACCCCCCATTAGACGTTTTGAAGCTTGCCATGTGGAAAACTCGTATTTGCTATTATAGATCTAGGATAGAGACATTTTTAAGAAGAAATTCATATTTATATTTGAACATGAGTTAGTTGGCTTGAGTACAAGTTAACGTAATGTAGATTACATTTAACCTTGGCTAGCTTAACTTGCACCACAAGCTATCAAACTCTATATATTCATGTAGATACCATTTGGGACTTCACTTTGAGTTTGAATAAGAATAAAGTTTCTCAAATTCTCTCTTCAAAGTCACTAGTTCTTTCTTTGGAGCATTTCTTTTCTAAAGAACATTTATAAGGAATTACTCCTTGTGATAAGTTCCTCATCTCTTGCTTATCTTGCACTTAGAAGTTGTGCACCTTCACCTTCTCTTTGATTCCTTATTTGTTTGATTTCTTTTGCAATTAGAGCCATGGATGAAAATTGGAGAAACTAGGAAAAGACTGTGGAGGATTCTACTACCTTTCTCCATAGGAGTTTCAATCACATTTGAAGTTTTATGTTGAATTTAGGTTGTTTAAGTTGTTTAGATGTGTTTTAATGGATTATATATGATAGAATCAGAATGTGGTGGTTGGATATGTTGAGATAAAATGAATTTCCATGTAGGAATTTCATATGTTACCTAAGCAGAGTGCATGCTCACCAAATGTTCATTCAAAGCTATTGATCCACTACCCAGACTTGTATTTTTGCTCTATGGCATGCTTAGTGCCTAGGGAGAAAATGAATTTGAGGTGACTCTCATGAGACCTTTTGATGGAGGACCATCCTTGAGGATGCATGTGGGTCTCATCACTAGGTCCATTTCTAGGAGAGTGGAAGAGGATGGAGGAGAGACTACCTTAGTTATAGCTATGCTCATGATGATCATTAAGTATTGAGTCTCTCCTAGCTCTTTTGTAGAGTAAGGTTTATTGATTTATTTTGTATTATCCATTTTACCCTTGTATTTTGGGGCACCTTAGTTGATAGGATTTTATTTTATTTTGTTTAATAGCTAGGGTATTATATTAGGGTTTGAGAGATAGGCCTAGACATGTTCCTGGTGTTTATTGAAGTTGTTTTTGGGCTTGGTGAAGCTTAGACCAAGGAGGAGGGCACCTAGGTTGCATAATCTTATTATGCACTTGGATGTAGCTTAGCCAAACTA